CTATGATAAAGACACCCACATATGTCATTAAAGGGAAATGTATATGTTGTAAGGTAACAGATGTAGCTTCACCGAAAAGTTCTTATGAGCCCACAATGATAAGATATCTTCCTACCCCATTAAAGTGTGATGTTATGCTTGCTAAGTAACGGATGGATCCTCAAGACAATTCATATGAAACTGCATAATACTATAGCAACATGATATTTCGATTCTAAGGGAGTACAGTACAATCTTTCTCAAGAATATCATACGAATTTTCCCCTACTTCGATCCGCCGTTATGTGTTTTGTCGCAATTGACGTGTGTCAGAGGGATTGTCAAGAGAATCGACTCAGGTATGTTAAGGTTATCCCTTCTTTCCTTTTGGCATGATCACTATGATACAAATAAAACGAGCAAACACACAACTTTCATAAATGCCTTTATTCATAGAAGCACTAGGGGTGCCTATGTTCTTGATTCCCCATGTGTCTTATTAGTATATCTCCTGTTCATGGGTCTCAGAAAAATATGTAGTTGATAAAATTTATTCGAAGACATATTAATTTTATGATATTTCGAGAGATTTTATTGACTTACTTTTCATTGCATTCATTTATACATGTACATTAATCCATGACCAGATGGCGTTATATATATATATATATATATCACTTTCTTTATTTAAAGAAAAAGAAAGAGGGTGCGGGTCAAATTCGCATCTTTGCGCCCTTTACTTACTTCAAGGGATGGTGCGTCCGATACATGATTGGTTAATGATGATTCTCAACAGCATCTGTAAGATCTCGAGGCTTACTAGACGGAATTCGATCAAAAATGAAAACTTTGGATATTTTTCTTAGAAGGAGATGAACTACCTATAGATTTGTATGTAAGTGCACGATAGGTTACGGTGTTATATACGCAGCACCACCTGATCAGTTGGTATACGTTGATGATTTCGTCCACAGAGGCCGAGATGATATGATAGGATGTCCTCAGAGGCTTGATGTTGTTATGTACACATATACCTACGCATGATACAACATTTATACGCACATGCATGACTTTATAAATATTTCAGGATTCACAAAGTTATTTAGACTTACAGGCAGATTCCTTTACTCCATGTTTCATTTATGTCTTTTATGTACTGATTTTCATGCCTTACATACTCGGTACATTATTCGTACTGATGCTCCTATTTACCGGGGCCTGCGTTTCATGCCCGCAAGTGCAGGTAGACAGGATGACGGTCCCCCTATTTAGGATCCTTGATCAGCAAGAGTTGGTGTGCTCTACTTGATCCGGAGCTGTTATTAGTTTTGGTACGCTATTTTTATATGTAGATATAGGTACGGCGGCCCCCAGTCCCGTCCTTTATACAATTTTACACTTTATTAGAGGTTTGTAGACAGTCATGTATAGTTGGATAGTATGTGGCCTTGTCGGCTTCTAGTTTTGGATATATGGTTATCTATAGCAGCCTTGTCGGCTTGCCCTACCGTATTCCGCATGTATATGTATATATGTCTTTTGGACATATTTTCCTCACGTATGCTATTCACGTGACATAACAGTTTATTGACATATGTTATTCATGTTTATATCTTAGATGCATGCTTAGGGGTGTTCGACAGGTAGGAATCGGGCACTCGTCATGGCCCATCGGTTTGGGTCGTGATAAGGCACCTGACTGGTACCCTCTCCTGTAGTTGTATCAAGTCGTCTACTAGTCGTTTGTTTCCTAGTCAAAGGCATCGTTGAAAGAAAACAAGGTAAATATTAGAGATAAACACTTAAGACTCCGCTCTCTAACTCACGGTGTAGATTTAGAAGGAAGGTAACAACCCTACATGTCCTGTAGCCTCCTGATTATAAATGTGGCACGCTACATATCTATAATCAAGACTCTACTAGACACGGATCATAGACAACTTCTAGGACAGACTTGCTCTGATACCAAGTTTGTCACGACCCAAACTGGAGGGCCATGACTGGAACCCATGCCATATTTGTCGAGCAGCGACTGGCATTTTATCTAACCTTTCTTATTATCCGTAAGGGCCGACGAGGCTAGCATAAATGGTAGACATGAATTATAAACAACCAACAATGACAGATAACGACATGAACATATGTAACATGGGCCGACAAGGTTGTCATAAAGCTATATATAAGGTACGAGCCGACAAGGTCTCCATGATAGACTATACAACAAAAATCAGCCGACAAGGCTATCTAAAACTATACATGAGACAACACCTATCTGTGATCCTCTAAAGAAACATAAGTGCTGTAACATTACCGAGACATGGTCCCGACTTACCCATAATTTCTATAATAAAAATGCATACCAAGACCACGACAAGTCTGAAGAAGGGATCTCGCCAATAACTGCTGAACTGGGCAGCCTACTGTGGTGGGGGAGCTTTATCTACTTGTCTATCAAAATCTGCAGCACGACATGCAACATCCACAAATAAAAGAGATGTTAGTACGAATAAAACACTGAGTATGTAAGGCAGGAAAGCATAAATAAGAATAATAATGTAAAGAGAGATATAAAAGATACACCTGTAATATCGGAGTGCCTCTAAGGGCGACTAACATGAAATGTGTGTGTGTATATATATATACACACACACACACTTTAAAAAACATACGCCTTTGTGGGCATCATCATCATCATCATCATATTGTACCCAGCCATAATAGGCTCCGTAAAAATGTACTCGGCCATCATAAGGCTCAATAGAATCGTACTCGACCACGTGGAGCTCGGTAAAATCCAACTGATCAGTGGTTGCACAATAGGTTCCGTACCCGGCTGACTATAGAGCGGCTCGGTAGAGTAAAATAGGTACATATATATAATGCATGTTGGACTCATAAAATCACATTTTGAACCTTTCAGAGTGATGTAAGGTCGGTAACCTCCGTATATATTATTAGAGCTAACTCGTCATTATGAATCTTATAAAAATCAGGAAATACCAATAACATTTGATAACATAATAATGAGAGAAGCAACATCAACATGAATCATTCCATAAGAAGGGAAACGATGTAAGTATTGTTAGTTTCTAAGAGTGAAGTATATTTAGAAGCTTGTTCGTTTACATTACGTACAATCGGAGTCGTGCAAAATAAAGAAATGGATTGCCTCACATACTTTGTATATACTGCCGAACCTCAAGGTATGCAAACATCACTGCTCCTTAGTCTACAATAAAAAAAATGATACTATCGTTATCGTTTAAGCGTCGTAACTATTAATATCAATCACAACCTATTTTATGATAAAATGGGCAGCACCTCTCCTATTTATATGACTTCCCACAAGTTACAACAATCACCAAACAACCCAAATAACATCAACAATAATCATATTAAGCCTCTCAAACAGTTTAACAATTGTTACGAGCGGTAAGCTCGGTTCATGTCTAATAACACTATATTTCGAATCCTTCCCCTCTTATTTATATTCAGGAAAATGTTGATAATAACAACACAATATACTCAGGTTATTCCATAAATTTTCCAGCCATAAAACGCTGCAAGAACATCTCCCAAATAGTCCAACAATCAACATACTAACAAGCCTTCCGATAGATATCTCACAAGTTCTAGCTTCAATGACTTAGCCGTAACTTGGATAAGCTTAAATACATGAAGAGTAAGAGGTTCCTTACCTTCAAACAGATAGAAAAACTCCAATTTGAGATTACTTCACCACGAAGTATCCTTCCAACGCAACCCCAAGAACAAGGAAGAGAAATTAGCAGGCACTTCGAGTTTCTCGACACTAGAATTACTTTGAAATACTTGAAATCACTTAGGGTTGATATGAAACCCTTGAGAGAGTATTTTTCAGAACTTAAACCACTTAAAACACCCCTCCCCCCAAACACACGAGCTGGAACCACCACACCAAAATCAGCAACCACAAGAAGAACAAGAAACTCACTAGCATCACGGGATTTGCGACACTTGATTTGTGTTGTTTGTCCTTTGTTTGGGTCTTGAATCACGAGATAACTTTGGGAGAAGGTTTGTAGGTGTCCGAGTTCCGGAGAGAGTGAAAAATAATGAGTAAAAACGAGATGTAGGCGTCACATATAAATCAAGATATTTCCACCGCCTCAAGTGGATCCCAACAGGACTGACTACACAGTCTCACAAAAACGCGAATATGTCTATACTCTGATTTCTTATTGATGAACGGTTTAATGCATTGGAAACTAGACTCGTAGACCTCCAATTTTGTGGGTAGATCATCCCGTAATTCCAATTATATTGGGAGAAAAGCTACATAACATTAGACCCAAATTTTAGTAGAATTGTGAACGTAACTTGCAATAGCTTCTTCCGACTTTTGTCATACAACTTGCTTGACTTCAAAACTTATGATACGGATATTATATGATTCAAATACCTTAAAACACGATCTCCTCAGCATATTAAGCACCCCTAATTTTACCCCAAAAGTACGAGTTACAGCATATTTAATTCGTTTAACTTCTATTTTCTAATACTTGTTAACCACTCTTATACACTCTTGTAATATTTAAGACCAATAGGATTAACTTCTTATCATCTCAAAGATAATCTCTTTTCGGATTTAGATCGACTAACTTCGACGCAATTTAACGTTCACGAATATGGGTTGTAACATGGTTGTTTCACGTTATGTAATCATTTATGTTTTTCTGATTTAATATTTTTTAACAAAATCATTATATTCACTCGTCTTAGCCGCGTGATATGTCACTTTGTGCACATCAATTATGTTACCGCTGCATAAACATGATTAACGGTTAGACGCTTGTTAATGATTATATTTGTTTAATGTCAAATTAGGCACGAAGTCCTACTTGTGTGCTATTTCTTGAACCAAAAACAAAAAAAAAACAATGTTTCTCTAAGGAAGCCATAAAAAAATCGGCACGTGTAGTTGTGAAGGGCAAAATGGTGAAAGCAGAAAAAGAAGGCAACGCTTTTCGTTACTTCTGGAACCCTCGCACTCACACACTTCTTTCCTCTAACATCGCAGTCTCCCTCTCAAAAACTCCCAATACGTTCAAGATCCGAGGAGCTTGCGGAAAACCCTAATTTTCATCACTTTCTCTTTTGTCATATCTCCATCTTACTTTCATCTTCAGGTACGTTTCCGTTAGCATCGCGTATATGAAACAAAGTTGAGATTTTGTGGCATTTATTTAACTCAACTATTACGTACAAGTGCATAACTTGTGATATTGAATGCTGCAGAATTGGTACTTTCGAGCGAATGAGGGTCTAGTTTGTAGAAGATTGTGAACAACTGTTACTTATGGATTTTAGCCTAGTTTTCTTTACCTACTGTTAGGACTTATGGATTGAATTCGTCATTCTTGAACAGAGAATTATTTCACAGTCTCTCATTGCATTTCTCTGCCTATTCTTTTAGCTGGTAGGTTAGGTGGTGGTGTGAGAACGAAATTTAAACAAAAACATTTAAGTTAATTTCCATAAGAAGTAAATCTTTTTATCAAATCATTGTTGCATGTCAATTATGGGTTGAAACAACCAGATAAAGACTAGGAATTTGCAAATTAAGAACTAACCAAGTAACGATTTGTTTGAGAATCACTGTAGAAAAGATGAAGATCTAAACTTTGTCTTCACATATAATATTATGTAGTTCATTTTTCCTTCTCAAATTCAATGGTGCAGTTCTAAATGTGCAACTGGGGCGAAATAGGTGTTTTAACATTCTCTAAGTCAAAGCATAGTGAAATGAACCAATGAATACCTGCTCATTTGTAATAAGTTCAGTCAACTTGTCTTGAGTTATGGTGATATCAATTATTTGATAATGTTTAATTTTATCCATGATTCTTTGTTGCTGATGTGCTGTGAATGCTTTCCAGTCATGGCGGGTGCAGCTCCAGAAGGATCACAGTTTGATGCTCGGCAATTTGACTCAAAAATGAATGAGTTGTAAGTAGCAGGAGCCAATTATTTTGTTGCTCTCTAATTATGCATCTATAGAAGACTGCACTTGCTTCTTCCTCATTTTTTTTTTGTTTTTTTCTGTATTTATTACTCGAATGAGTTCTGATGCATGCATTTTACTTATATATGCCACGCTATACTTTATAGCATGGATCCAAAAAACTGACTTTTCTTGGATTTTCATTGTAGGCTTTCAGCTGATGGGCAAGATTTCTTTACTTCATATGATGAGGTTTATGATAGTTTTGATGCCATGGGTTTGCAGGAGAACCTTCTGAGGGGCATTTATGCATACGGTTGGTTGAAACATTTTTCCACTTTTCTTCTGCTTGACTAATGCATGCATTATAAAGAAGAAGGGGTGGTGGACTGTTAATATTCTAGGTACAACTGAGTACTTCTGTCCCCTGTTGTTTTGTGACATTTCAGTTTGTGGTTCTGGATCAATGTGAATGTTGTCCTTTTGCTTAACCAATCAAGAAAAGGAAAAAAAATATGAAGAAAGAAACAATGGAATTGCTGCACATACGAGCTCTCCCGCTGATATTGTTATAGTCGGATATTCTCTTTGTTCTGGGCATTGTTCTATCCATTAATCAGGTTACAATGTACTTAATATTGGACTATTTCCATGTAGGTTTTGAGAAACCCTCAGCAATCCAGCAAAGAGGAATTGTACCCTTTTGCAAAGGTCTTGATGTAATTCAACAGGCGCAATCTGGAACTGGGAAAACTGCTACTTTTTGTTCTGGAATTCTGCAGCAACTTGCCTATGAACTGCTGGAATGTCAAGCTTTAGTCTTGGCGCCTACTCGTGAGCTTGCACAACAAATTGAAAAGGTCATGAGGGCACTTGGTGACTACCTTGGTGTGAAGGTACATGCATGTGTGGGAGGGACCAGCGTACGAGAGGACCAACGCATCCTTTCAAGTGGTGTTCATGTTGTTGTGGGAACGCCTGGACGTGTATTTGACATGCTGAGAAGACAGTCACTTCGCCCTGATCATATAAAGATGTTTGTATTAGACGAGGCCGATGAAATGCTTTCCAGAGGTTTCAAGGATCAGGTCAACTATTTTAGATTGAAAACTGCCCCTCTGACCAATATGCTTTTTCTCTCCCCCATACATGTGTGCATGTTTCTTTGTACATCCGTACCCTCTTGACATATCTGTAGTGTGAAAGGTTCTCCAACCAGTAAGCTTTTCTGAGATTNCGTCAATGTGGATAAGGAAGAATGGAAGCTCGAAACCCTGTGCGACCTGTATGAAACATTAGCCATTACACAGAGTGTGATCTTTGTGAATACCCGTCGCAAAGTTGATTGGTTGACAGATAAGATGCGAAGCAGAGACCATACAGTGTCAGCTACCCATGGTGATATGGACCAGAACACTAGAGATATTATAATGCGTGAATTCCGTTCCGGGTCCTCCCGTGTTCTCATCACTACTGATCTTTTGGCCCGAGGAATTGATGTCCAACAAGTCTCCCTAGTTATAAACTTTGATCTTCCCACGCAGCCTGAGAATTATCTTCATCGCATTGGACGTAGTGGACGGTTTGGTAGGAAGGGTGTGGCCATCAACTTCGTTACAAAGGATGATGAGAGGATGCTGTCTGATATTCAGAGGTTTTACAACGTTGTTATTGAGGAGCTGCCAGCGAATGTTGCTGATCTCCTGTAAAAGCTTTTTCCTTGCTTCAGTGGCAAAAATATAGAAGCTGGTACTGTTTGGGCGGGGTTCTCTCTCCACACATATACCTCTTTTCTCCCTCCGCCCTCTCCTTTCATTTTCATATTTTCGTTGTGTAATGAATGTCTAATTTAATGGTCCTAGTGTCTGAGATTATGAACTTGTGAGTAATTTACACTAGCGTTGTTTAATCAATCACTATATTATACATTGGTGTAGCTGCTGCTAGTTTTTGACATCAAAGGGTTGTATCTGAAGTACAATGTCAAAGTATGAAATCATTCACGTTGTACTTGCAAAGAGATGCTTCAATTGGGACGGCAGATTTGAAATTGGGAGACAATTTCTCTACTACAAACAATTTTAATGTACTTTGCTAATGCAGTTCCCGAATTGATTCCAAGTCTTTATATTCATGATTAGAAATCATTTGTCTAAAATTTGGAAATTATGAATACTAGGTAGTGTTGGCAAAATGGATAAAAATAATAATTAGTCATCCATATTATCCATTAAAATATTAGTTGGATAATGAACTTTTTAAAAATGGGTCAAATATGGATAAAAATCATATTATCCACTTAGAAAATGGATAGCCAATAGATAACTAATGAGTTTAATTTTTACATTTGTAAAGACTCAAATTGAGGGTTACTCAAGTTTGGGAGACTAGAAATTTTCTCAAAAGTGAGCATATTCAAGAAGCCATGATAATATGGATATTCATATTATCCACAGGTCAACCCATTTTCTATCCGTATTAAATATAGATCGGGTTGGATAATTTATTCGTTTTGCATTACCTGTTTTCGACCGCCCATATCCGATCCGACCCTCCCCGCCCGTTTGCCACTCCTCATACTAGGTGTAGATATAAATTGAGTTAGAGATGCAATGAATATTAAGTCTTTTCATTTGACTAAGCCTTACATAGAATTATCCGACATTTATACTAGTTAAAAATTGTTATGAAATATAACTCAAATTAACAATATAGAACAAGAAAAAACAAGCTAAGAGATATAGAGAGAAAGGGAGAAGAGATTTTTATTTCTTCTTTAATTGTGTGTATTTTCCTATCTTTTACAAGACCTTTATATAGACATGAAAAGTGAATAAAATATGTCATTGAACATAGAAAATATGTCATTGAATATGTCATTAAGCATTTGAGATGAATATCATGGAGGAAGAGTAGACATCCACCATAATTTGATATTTCTTATAACACTCCCCGTTGGATATCCATAGATAATGTGCATCGTTAAAACCTTATTAGAGAAAAAAAATCCTAGTGAAGGAAAAAGAGTACACATGTTTAGAAATACGCTTTTTGGTTGCCTCATTAAAAACCTTGCAAGGAAAACCCAGTGGGACAAAACCTTGTAAGGGAAAAAGGGTACACCGCGTATTAACTCCCCCTGATGAGAGCATCAATTCACATCCTTGAGCCTTCACATCCCAATCTTGTACACTAGTTTCTTGAAGGTTGACGTCGGTAGAGATTTGGTGAACAAATCAGCCATATTTTCACTTGAACGGATCTGTTGCACATTGATATCACCATTCTTTTGAAGATCATGTGTGAAAAATAATTTTGGTGAAATGTGCTTTGTTCTATCTCCTTTTATGAATTCTCCCTTCAATTGAGCTATGCATGCTGCATTGTCTTCATACAAAATTGTGGGTAGTTTGTCACGCTTCAAACCACATTTGTATCGAATAAGGTGTATTACAGACCTCAACCATACACATTCTCGACTTGCTTCATGAATAACAATTATCTCAGCATGATTAGATGAAGATTGATTGCTTAGTCGATCGCCAAGATATTGCAGTGCCTCCATATGTAAACATATAGCCTGTTTGAGATCGAGCCTTGTGTGATCAGATAAATACCCAGCATCGGCATAACCAACAAGATCGGGATTGCCATAAAATAAGCCCATATCGGTAGTCCCTTTTAGATACCGCAATATATATTTGATTCCATTCCAATGTCTCCTTGTAGGAGCAGAGTTATATCTTGCTAAGACATTAACTTAAAACGTTATGTCAGGCCTTGCGGTGTTATAAAGATACATTAGCACACCAATTGCACTAAGATATGGTACTTCAGGACCAAGAAGCTCTTCATTCTTTTCTTGAGGTCGGAACGGGTCCTTATTCACATCAAGTGATCGAACAACCATTAGAGTACTTAATGGATGTGCTCCATCCATGTAAAACCGTTTCAATAGCTTTTCTATGTAGGCAATTGATGAACAAAAATCCCGTTTGCCAAATGTTCAATTTGCAAACTGAGACATAATTTTGTCTTTCCGAGATCTTTCATCTCGAATTCCTTCTTTAAATAATCAATTTCCTTTTGGAGTTCTATAGGAGTTCCAATAAGGTTTATGTCATCAACATATACGGCAAGTACAACAAACTCCGATGTTGTTTTCTTTATAAAAGCACATGGACAAATGGAATCATTTATATAACCTTCCTTTAATAAATATACACTAAGGCGGTTATATCATATTCTTCCTGATTGTTTTAGATCATACAAAGATCTTTGCAATTTGATTGAAAACATTTTTCTTGACTTTGAATTATGTACGTCAGGCATTTTAAATCCCTCGGGAATTTTCATGTATATCTCATTATCAAGTGAGCCGTATAGGTAGGCTGTATCCACATCTATTAAATGCATGTCAAGCGTTTCATGGACAGCAATACTAATGAGATAACAGAACGTTATAGCATCCATAACAGGAAAATACATCTCTTCATAATCGACACCAGGCCTTTGTGAAAATCCTTATGCAACAAGGCATGCCTTATATCTTTGTACCTCATTTTTCTCACTCATTTTACGTACAAAGACCCATTTATAGCCAACAGGTTTAACACCATTAGGTGTTTGGACTATAGACCTAAAAACTTCACGTTTCGCAAGTGAATCCAACTCAGATTGGATTGCTTCTTGCCATTTTGGCCAATCACATCTTTGTAAACATTCTCCAATAGATTGAGGTTCGAGATCCTCATTATCTTGCATAATGCTAGATGCAACATTGTATGCAAAGACATAATCTACCACTATATTCAATTGATTTAAATTTGTCTCAATATCGATTGGATTTATTGATAGTTCCTTATTTTTTTGAGTCTCAGGCTCATCGATATCCTCATGAATTTCAGGATTGGTTAAATCATGGGTTTCTTTATGAGACTCTTTCGTAGTGTCATCTTGATCATTTATTTTCCTTTTCCTAGGATTTCGATCCTTAGAACCCAATGGTCTGCCACGCTTTAGACATGTTTTTGACTCATTAGCTATGACACTAGAAGATTTTTCAACAGGGACATCAATACAGATTGGAACATTCTCTGCACGGATATGTGATTTCGTTATCCTTTTCAGATCCGTAAATGCATCTGGCATTTGATTTGCTATTTTTTGCAAATGGATAATCTTTTGTACCTCTTTTTTCACAAATAGAGGCACGTGGATCAAGATGAGATAATGATGGATTTTTTCACGAAATTTCCCATTTGATTTCGCCAATTTCTCCCCCTAATTTGGGGAAAAATGCCTCATCGAATTGACAATCTGCATATCGAGCAGTGAACAAATCTCCCATTAATATTTCGAAGTAGCAAATAATGGAGGGCGATTCAAACCCAACATATATTCCTAACCTTCTTTGGGGAACCATCTTGGTACGATATGGCGGTACTACAGGCACATATACAGCGCATCCAAAAATTCTTAGATGAGATATATTAGGTTCATGACCCAAAACTAATTGCAACGGGGAATATTTCTGATAATTTGTCGGTCTGAGACGAATTAGCATTGCTGCATACAAAATGGCATGACCCCAAACAGAAGTGGGTAATTTCGTTTTCATGAGTAACAGTCTTGCTATCAATTGCAGACGTTTAATCAAAGACTCTGCAAGGCCATTTTGAGTGTGAACATGAGCTACAATATGTTTCACTTTTATCCCAATTGATAAGCAATAATTATTAAATGCTTGGGATGAAAACTCAGCAGCATTATCAAGTCGAATAGACTTAATTGGATTATCGAGAAACTGTGCCCGTAATCGAATTATTTGTGCCATTAATTTTGCAAACGCCAGGTTGCGAGATGACAATAGGCACACATGAGACCATCTAGAAGATGCATCTATTAAGACCATAAAATATCTAAACGACCCACTAAGTGGATGAATAGGTCCACAAATATCCCCTTGTATACGTTCCAAAAACGCAGGGCACTCAATCCCAATCTTTGTTGGTGATGGTCTAATAATCAACTTGCCTTGATAACAAGAAGTGCAAGAAAACTCATTATTTAAAAGAATATTTAAATTCTTTAATGGATGCCCATTTGAGTTCTCTATAATTCGTCTCATCATAATTGATTCAGGATGTCCCAATCGATCATGCCAAAGTACAAAAGTATTGGAATTAGAAACCTTTTGGTTTACAATAGAATGTGCCTCAATTGCACTAATTCTTGTCCAATACATACCACAAGATAAAGATGGGAACTTCTCAATAACCCTTTTCTGGCCAGAGACATTCTTGGTAACGATGAGATATTCGAGATTATTCTCATCTATTGTCTCAATATGAAATCCATTTAGACTGATATCTTTAAAACTCAACAAGTTCCTCTTGGACTTGGAAGAGAACATTGCATTCTCTATGATAAGTATTGTTCCCTTAGGCAGAGTTATATTAGCTCTTCTAGAGCCTTCAATTAGATTACTACTACCAAAAATTGTAGTAACATCTGTCTTACACATACCTAAATGAGAGAAATATTTCTTCTCTTTGAATATTGTATGTGTTGTACATGAATCAATTAAGCAAATATTTTTACAATTGAACAGGTTTGCTTTGAAAGATATCCATATTTGCTTCCCATGGTTTGACATACAAAAGAAGTATATGAATAAATATTAGTATTTTTAGAGAAAAAGGAAAAGAAATAAAGTTAAACCAATAATTCAATATTGACCTTTTAATGCATTTTCTAGCAAATTCTAATTATTATACAAATAATTACGCAGAAAAAAATAATACAATTATAAGTACATTACACATATGACTAATACAACTACAATAAATTTATTTACATGTATAAGTTATTTGCATTTTCCTATACATTGTGTGAAAAATAATTGATCTGTGTAAGAAAAGAATATACTTAGTTGCTTCTCTTTTCTTTATTCATAATATTTCATCCATGTACATGAAAAAAATTAAGGATGAAGTAACAAAAGTTGTTCCAGGGTGTTTGTAAACCTCTTCTTAAAGAGAATTAAAGTAACGTAAAGAAAAATCAAAAGGCATTAAAAGATAAGTGAGACTAGAACACTAATTACTTAGATATTACTCATTGTTTGTGAAATTTATGAAATTTAGGAAATACATATATTTTTAAAAACTACATAAGAAGTATTATTAAGTGCAATAAAAATTACAAGATGTTTATTCATTAGATACTACAAATAGAAAAACATAAAAATCAAACTGCTCAATCATCTTTAACCATAGATCCATCACCGATCGAGTGGTTTATTTTTCTATGAGGGTGCTCAAAAATATCTGCCACATCCAAGTGGGTGATGTCAAATTCATTGTCATTGCCAAAATTAGCTTCAGGAGCTTTATTCTTTAGAGATGCTTGATAAAGCTCAACCAAATATTTTGGTATTTGACAAATATTTGCCCAATGCCCTTTTCCACCGCAACGATAACATTCAGTTTCTGAACCATTTGCCCTTGGCCCTTTCCACTTTTGGTGGTTATTTTTCTTTAGGGGGTGATTAACACCAGGAAACTTTTTTCCATGGCCACGACCACGACCACGACCACGAACAGGGTCACGACCTTTTCCACACTTAGAATAATGAGAATACACCTCATTCACTTCAGGCAATGGTGTAGACCCAGTGGGTCGATTTTCGTGATTTCTCATGAGCAAGTCATTGTTTCGTTCAGCCACAAGGAGAGGAGAAATCAACTCAGAATACTTCTTGAAACCTTTCTCTCGGTAATGCTGTTGCAAGACCATATTGGAGGCATGAAACGTTGTGAACGTTTTTTCAAGCATATCATAATCAGTGATAGTATCTCCATCGAGTTTCAATTTAGAAGTAATTCTGAACATCGCAGAATTATATTCAGAAACAAACTTAAAGTCTTGGAGCCTCAGATGAGCCCAATCATATCGTGCTTGTGGAAGAGTGACCAACTTTAAGTTATCATATCTTTCCTTTAAGCCATTCCACAAAACAAGTGAATCTTTGACTGTGAGATATTCTATCTTCAACCCTTCATCAAGGTGATGGCGCAAGAAAATCAAGGCCTTAGCACAGTCTTGGGTAGATGCTTTATTTTTGTCTTAATGGCGTCTCCAAGACCCATTGCATCTAAATAGATTTTAGCATCCAACACCCATGTCATATAGTTCTTACCCGAAATTTCAAGGGCAACGAACTTTCTTTTCACAATATCAGTCATAATTAAAAGAGGAGAAAAGTTATACCTTAGTCTTCTCAAAGAGCTTCTTGAGACGGTAGAGTCTCGTGCTGATAACGTGTTATGAAATATAACTCAAATTAACAATATAGAACAAGAAAAAACAAACTAAGAGATATAGAAAGAAAGGGAGAAGAGATTCTTATTTCTTCTTCAATTGTGTGTATTTTCCTATCTATTACAAGGCCTTTATATAGGCATGAAAAGTGAAAAAAATATATCATTGAATATGTCATTAAACATAGAAAATATGTCATTAAGCATTTGAGATGAATATAACGGAGGAATAGTAGACATCCACCATAATTTGATATTTCTTATAACAAAAATAATATTATTGGGTGGATAGTCAAGCGCTCAAAAGTTGATCCAAATATTACCATTATTAAAAAGAAAAGAAATTCCTTAAGAACTACCAATTTCCGCATAGATCTATGTTTACTTTCCCAATGCAAATCAAATTTCGCACATTCAGGTTCATTTAGTTCAAGTTGATTTGTTAATGACGTTTAGGAAAGGACCTATAAAGTTCTAAATAATTCGAGACCACCTTTCTCAATATATCTAACACGCTGAGAAAACTAAAACCTTTCTCAATATATCTAACACGCTGAGAAAACTAACATCCAAAAGGGCAATCTGATAAGAGGGGTACTTCCCCTGTTTTACCAACTCTGGCCATATGAACGTCGAAACTTCGTCCGCACTCACCTTGGGGACGAAAACGAAGAGATGGGCGTAAACTTTGACTTTGTTACAAGATAAAATTGAAGGAAGATAAGATTTTGCACATGCTTGAAAACTAAAGCATTAACAGTACCCAGAATTTGTGAGAACTACTGAGTTTGCACTCTAAGTGACATTCGACCAAAACATTACTATGGACCATCTTATCTTAGTATTACAACGACTCAATATACAGTTTCACTAGTCCCCATCATCTGGATGAGGTTTAAATATTATGGAAGATGCCTGATTGCACAGGCACCAAAACAATATAAAGAGCCATGCACGGCAATGAGCTTGTATTGAAACCACCTGACTCCCTGCATTAGAGCACTCATTCAGATCTATTTATTTCTTATAGATCTTTGCTTGAACGAATCACACTCTAGATCCCTAAATTCCAACCCGAAATTCAAGAAAAATCAACTTTTAGGGCCTCAATTCTACCTGAGGTCTAGCACACTGAGTCAGAAATTTACAAGAATGTGATGAAAGGGTTTCCAATCATTAGTGACCCCTATCTTCCTCATCGAAATGTAAACTCTCAATTCCTTTGAGTGTGGTTTCATAGTTCTTTATACCAGAAGTATTCCTGCCAGATGAAGCATGTTTAGCGTCTGATGAGCCAACAAATGGGGAGCTTCTCTGTCCACTTGATATTTTGTGCATGGTTGCTGGACTTGCCTCAGGCGTTCGAGAACGTGTAGGATCAGAGTCATTTCCCATAGTGAAAGTCTCTCGGCTGCCAGAGACTAGACCTCGCCTCAATGATCCACTTGATCTTCCAAGGAAAGTGGAGCTTGACAACTGCAAAATTGGAATGATTCATTATAATCTGGGGGAAAAGATCACTTATGGCATAGACCACGTTTCCATTTCAACAATGTAGAAACCTAAGAAACACACATCTCTATTATTATTATTTTCCTGGGATTAAGGAAATACAGAAATAGTATTCTTTGTCCAAGGTGATAAGCATCTGAATTCTGTAGCAAGAGTTATATTTGAACTAGCAACGCAGTTCAACAAGAAGACAATTACACTGCAAGATTTTACTACTCTTGATTATGGACTGATCTCTTTCCCAGAAATGGCCCTTTGAGAGCTCCAAAATTTAAAATCTTATCAAAGTTCATATTTGATCCAACAACTCAAACTTACCATAGCATCCTTGCTAGTAGAATCATTTCTGAGAGGACTTTTCTGCTTGGACAAACTTCCTGCATTTATAAGCGGTCCAGAATTCCTCCTTCGAGAAGGATCTGCTGGTTGTCTTCCTTCTTCCTCACCTGCAAATGATTGAGAATCGGGGTGAGGAAAATCCCGAATGAAAGAGAGCACAGAGGTCTTGAGCAGTACCCATGTGTAGGTGAGGAAAAGCCAATTTTCTCAATTTAGAACACAAGAATTAGGACAGGTACACTGGAAGATCACCTGACTGCCTTTCTGCATTAGGGATAGCTGGAGGCATGCCTGAGCTGGTTCCAGCACCAGCACCCTAATAAAAAACAGCCATCATAAGATATAAGCTCTGCACACAGGTAGAAATATGATATTCCACCACTTACAAGAGGTCGGGAAGGAGGAGCTGCAATTTGCGATTGCTGATACTTCAAAATGGTCCAATCAAAAACATAGTCAAACTGAAAGCCTGCAATGCAAATAAAAGTGTAAACGGGAGCCTAGATTGAAAATTACCAGTTAAAAATAGAAGCATCTCAAAATTCATCTTAGACCTTCGCGGATGAAGAGGTCACGAAATATTCTCTTCAGATAAGCATAATCTGGTTTATCCTCAAAGCGAAGTGAACGACAGTAATGGAAATATGATGCAAATTCAGTAGGATAACCCCGGCATAAAGCCTGCAAAATTGTAAACCAATTCTCCATACAGATGTCCAAGTAGAACCCAATCACCAAATCAGAAAATAAATTACCTCAATAGATGTTGACACCTTTTTTTCACTAATTTTCTCATACTTCTGCTTCTTAGTTCCTGCTTTCAACCCCTGCCAAGGAAGACTGCAATAAAAAGATGTCAAACACAAGCTGAATAAAACAAGAGCGAGGAAAGAAATTGCAGCAAAATTTACCTTCCTCTTAGGAAGTACATGAGGACATATCCAAGAGATTCTAAATCATCCCTCCTGCTTTGTTCTGTAACAGCGGTAATAGCATATTAAGTGAGAAACACAGCAGAGTTAAACTGCACAAAGAGTGAACACACAAATATAAATAACAGGGACACTTACCAATACCAAGGTGAGTATTCATGCTAGCATATCTTGCAGTGCCAGTCAAGTTTTTGTTCTCTCTGCAGTGTCAAACACCATGTCTTATAAGGCACAGGCAAAATACGATACGCAAATGACAGATAACTGAATGCATGTGCATGCACACAGAAAAGAATTCAAGGACACTCTTAACTGTGTTGCATTTAACAGTCTTTTTAAATGGAATATGCGCATATCCCCATCATAAGAATTTTCAGCAGCACCAAGGCAAATGTATTTGTTACATAACAGATCCTACAGAAATGCACTTTGAATTGGCTTAGCATCATCTATCTGTCATTATCATATAACCCCAGCTGGAGTCTTTTTTCTTTAAGATACATATAACCCCAGCTGGAGTTTTACATTTTCCTAACTAGAGCAAAAAAGAATTATATCTGTTTCTGTCTTCTCTAATTATTTTTTTGGATAAAAATTTGTCAGTAATTAACAAACAAAACATTCTTCATATTACATAATATCCAAAGGTATGGAACCTTAGTTGTATAAACTGAATGCTCAGCCTTTCTCTTCAGCTGGGAATGCTAAGCTAACCAGAAAAGACTTTTGCACCTATCAAAATCAAGAGGAAGAACNAAGACCTGCATTTTAAGTCAAATCTAAGTACAGTAACACAAAATCCTGGGAATTTGTGAGAACAAAGAGTTAGAAAATAGTAATAAAAATAAAGGACCTGATTTGCACGCCTTCCCAAGCCCATAAGAAAATTGTCCGGTTTAATATCGCGGTGCAAAAATGATTTAGAATGAACAAACTCAATGCGATTTATCTGCAGTAAAAATCAAAATAGCCATGTCATCACCAAGTTCAGGTAGGATTACTAACGTCAGAATAAGAAACATTATAAGTGTTAACCATTTGATCTGCAAGCATCAGAACTGTCTTCAGGGAAAGTTTCCTGCTGCAAAAGTTAAATAAATCTTCAAGACTGGGTCCGAGCAAATCCATGACTAGAACATTGTAATTTCCCTCCACACCAAACCACCTCACATTTGGAATTCCAGCTACAACAGAAGTATCACAATTAGAACCCCTAATCATAGAAATGTAGTCAAAAGTAGAGTAAAGAGAGAGAAGGTTTGTTTTTCAAAAAAGACAGTAGAAGTTATTACTTCCTCCCTGCAAAATCCTGTACAACTTTGACTCATATAGCAACTGAGGATGCTTTGTTTTGACATTTTCCTGCAAAATCACCAGCATTAATCACACACTAAATTACAATGGAAGAATTAATGCACAAGTCATTCACATAGTTGGAGCCAAAAAAGAAGAAAGAGATGAAGACACACATACACAAAGAGATAAATAAAAAAGATGAACGCTTGCAGATATGTAACATCTTAAAAGTATTTGCGACACAAACATATGCTATATATGGGGTTCTATCCATCTTTTTCCCCAGTTCAAGAATCAACTGATAGTTTATGTTTCAAAGCTATGAACAATGATGTTATGTAGTATGCATGTTGGCGGCTGTGGGCAGTGGGCACCAGCAGTTCCATTTCACTTTGTGAGAGCACCATTTGCCAAAAAGGAAAAAAGTAGACCAGAAATTGGCCTATATGCACCAACTTTCTTTGGGGTGGGGGGATTGGTTAGAGGAAGGGGGAGAAATGAGTTCATCCACTTGTGGACCTAAATAATGAAGCACAAATTTCTCAATTACCTACTTGAACTCAAGCAAAAAAGACTATTCTGTTAGAGCATTCCCTGTCTGTCTGAGCAATTGAACAAGATGCCAAAACTACATAAGCTTTTTAAACCTAATCACCTCCAGATCACCACATTCCGTGTTAGCTTTAAGGATTGACCGCTCAAACTAAAAACATGCGCAATTAGAATGTCTGTAGAGAAATCAAATCATAGTTTACTTGTTCCTCTTATGTAAATTTACAGAAAACAGGAGCTAAGCTCCCATTTGGCCATAAATTTTGGCAATTTCTTTTTCTTTTTCAAATTTTTTTGAAAACATTGTTTATTCGTGGAATATTATGATCAGTTTTTGAAAAAGAATTGGAACAAAAATTTTAAGTCCCCAAAAACGGGTTTAGGGTAGTTTTTGAGTGAAATTTTTTCTTCCACTCACAAAGCTTCAGCTTTTTTTTCAAATAAAATGCATGTCCAAATACAACTTCAACTTCCAAAAATTATTTTCTAAAACAACTCCTTTTGCAAGTTTCAATCAAATCAATGTCTAAATGCTAGCTAAGAAAATAGAATGATTATAAATCCCCACAAAGGGCAATCCTAGTCTAGTTGGATTGTTTCATTCTTTAAAGTAAATGCTGTCTCCAGCCAAAACCGGCAGCTGATATTTTTTATTTTTTCAAAAAGGCAATGCTGAAGTTAAGAAAAAACTGTCATATTTATGCCACAGAGCTTGACCATGCATGATGTTTAAGAAAAAGGGAAGACTTTTGACATGTAAGGTAAATAGATGCAAGATAAAAACATCACAGTTAATATTAACAATTTAATGAAAAATGGTAACGGTTCTACATGTCACTTTCTATTCCTCTCCTAACAAGTCATATCAATAAGAGTAAATTGGGAATGTTAAGATCTAATAATCTCCAAATACAAAAAAGTGCCAATCTTTTCATGACAAAATAAAGAAAAGAGTGACATAAACTGATACCCGCTTGAGGTGCCGAAGGGTTTTATTTCTGAAACCAAGAGGGTTTTTTCTGACACCGTCAATGGTGGTTATGAAGAAGTGTGTTTTGCTATGGGGCTGCAGGAAATGAGGCTAATTTTGGCCAAACTGCAGAGGTAGTACATTGTTCTCTCCCAACGGTGGTACTGGTCAGGAGAGTGAATCTCGGTAGTCTGCTATAACTTCCGATGCTGTAAAAGGGTCTTCACTGAAATATCCCAGAGCGCACAAGACAAAGAGCTTCTTTAGATGCTAAGTGCAGCATGACAAGTCCCCAGGCAAATGAAACCACTACTCGCAATATGCCTTGTGTACCAAAATACCCAAACAACATTTCAGTGTTCACCTTCCTTGAAGTCCCCTGCCTTGTCACGCAGCCCATCCCAAAGCCACAACTTCACAGTCTGCAGCTTTGAGGAATTCTTGGGGAGATGAACACTGGAAATAATTTTAGCGGAAGCTGTGATATGCTCAACCAAAACCCTGTTTAGAATTGGGATAACATTTTCCCATGGCTGGTGGGTGAGCAAAGATTCTGGAAGGGCTTTTTGCCTCTGTTATCTAGAAGGGTAGAGAACAATCTCCGACAAGGGTTTCAGGGTTTCTTAAAATTTATGTTGTCTTTGTTTGCTCACTTAGCAAACATCTGTTAGCTTCAGTCAACCAGGGACCAAAATTGTACACTAAGTTTAATTGAGGGTCAAATGTGCTCAATCGAATAATATGGGGACCAAAAGAGGAGTAATGCAAAATAACTAAAGGACTAAAACTACTATTTCCCCGAAAGTTTTCTTGCTTTAAGATAAATCCAATGATAAATCATGCATAGCATACATGCTCAACTTCACAAACAATGAAAAATGCATACTATACAACAAACTAGGAAGCAAAAGCCTTCATTCACATGTACTTGAACAAATCGAAAAGACAGTATGATATAATTGAAGCTCACAAAATATGCAATTACATCAACATGTTACGCTACTAAGTCATCAACTAACTAATTTGGCACATAAATTTCTACAAACAGCTTATTTCCAAATGAATCACGAAGCCTTTCTGCCCTAAAAGGGGGATTATCACTTATGTTATGACCACTGAGGTACACATCGTCACTCTGGAGTTCAATTCATCTGTTCTTGATAACTGAACTATCCCTTTGGGGACAGCATGCGATAACTTTGACACATAATTGTTAACTTCAAAGTCAACCATCAATAAAACACATACTACTGATACTTACAGAAAAACACATAACAGAAACAAAAAACAACTTCCAATAACTGTAAATTCATTTGCAACAAATATTCAATAGAACTACACTTAATTACTAAAAGAAATCACTTACCAACTTAATTGCTACTTCCTCATTAGTCTGTATATTAGTACCTGCACCACATAATCATAATTAAAAGAACAAAAGTAAATAAAAAATCAATCAATCAACATAGACAAGAAATGGAGTGAAAAATCTTTTGCAAAAAAAATAAAAAAATCAAACCGAGATAGATCTCTCCAAATGATCCACTGCCAATTTTCCGACCCAGTCGATACTTGTTCCCAACACGAGGCTCCATCAAAACCCTAATTTCGTCACTGAATTTCGAAAAGCTTCCAAAACCCTAGCTTTTTAAAGCAAGAAACAAATACATGAACTCAGTACAAAGATCTAAAAAGGCATCGAAGTGTGATTTTCTCTCATCGCTGTCTATCTACAAAAGCTAGGGTTTGGTTTGAAGAAAATAGAGAGAGAGAGAAAAAAGAATCTTCAGTGTTTCTCTCTCTATATTTATATACTTCTTGCACATATGCTTTTCCCTTTTCGGTTTTTTCCATCTTCCTGAGTTTGCCAGTGAAGCGCGTTTGTGAGAAACAATTTTTGGAGGGTGAACCTACGCGTTGAGATGACGCGTGACGGAAGGTTCGACTGGAATGGGGTAGTCCAACATTAGGTGTTACTCTGTTGGTTATGTGGATTGTGGGGTCAGGAAAAGTGGCATATGCACACATCGCTGGCAAAAGGCTCGTGTGTCACGTGACTTGGTTAGTGCTTGGCTCTGTTTTTCTTTTTCTTTTAAACAAATATATATTACATTAAGAGTTCATCACAACTATTATCAAAGATTGTCGTGCAATGAATAAGATTCATTTACTATTAGTTAAATCTCTTCTTAATTTAAAGATTTTAAGTTAGGAACTAAGTGTTCCAAATCATTTCTGAACCTCTCGAGATTTGAACTACTCATACCGACAAGTTACAAAGTACCAAATGAACATACAGAAAGTCTCAAATAGAAAAATAAGGTTCTAAAACTTAAAACGACTGATTGATTCATTACAACGAAGAGGTGATGGTGTAAAATCTAACGAGAGTGTTTGTAGTAAAGGAAAATATGCCTTAGAAGCCCCTGTGAATGAACCAGGTTCTTTTGGTGCTATTCAATTTATTTAATACATTTTATTTGTTTGCAGAAAAAAAATATGGGAGAAAAATGAATCAAGATAAGCTATTCCGAGAGACCCACATTCGGAAGAAGAAGAACGTCTCGGATCCATATAAATGGGTCGAGGACCGAGCTGAGACTACTTTGGAGCTTTCAAATTTCCTGAGAGTTAATAATTTATGTTTATAATATTATTTATATACTAATTTTATAACTTAAATGTAGGATCTCTTTAAAATTAGCTTGAAGGAATTCCATCACAGTCATCTAACAACTAATCTTGGCGAGGCATCAGGACCTTCGAACGAAGTTGCTGAAAGACTTTGATTGGAAGTTGTTGGCTGTCCAAGAAAGGGGATAACATATTGCCTTCCAGAAAAATTATTTTATGGTTACAAGTGTGGATTACAAGGTATGGAGACCTCCTCACAAACACTTTATAGGGAGGCTATCTCGGCTATGGATAAGACGATCGCAGAGCTTTCGTTCAAGCTTAAATTAGCAAAGGCTAGAGATAGGTGTAGCGATTAACAGTTTGATAGACTTCAGGCTCAACTAAAAGCTCTCCTTGAGTCTGGAGCTTTTTCATTGCCTCGTTCTTATGAGTCATCGCCTAACGCTTGTCCGCCACATCATCGTTCTACTCGTGTGGAAGATGAAGGTTCTTCAAGTGACGGAAGAGATGCAATACAAAATACTCCTTGAATGATTTTTGTATTGCTAACTCTTTCTTGAACTGTATTGTGCTACTATTGGTACGTTTATATAATAGTATTAACTTGTTATAGTTCTATTGAGTTGGTATATTCTTGTTGAATGTTTTAATTTATGGAGATTGACTGATATTATTTTAATAGGAGTTTTGGTTGAAAACTAAATGTAGTGGGTGTTTTGGTTGGAGAATTACGTTGAGGAGATGGTTGTAGTATTGTAGATTGTTTGATATCGTCGTTTGGTTTGATTGACAATAATTTGGTACTGAATGTAGGCTTTTGTATTATACTTATCTTTTTGGCAGGTGGTGTAGCTATAAAACAAGCACTGCCTGCCAAATCATTACCTAGAAAACCAAGTAAAATCGATCATTATGCTAAAAAAAATAAAATTATTAAAAATCGATCGATGTCGGTCGGTTACTTAGCCAAAAATATTTCAGACATAGTTAAATAGCTAACAAAATCAGTCGGTTAAAAAGAAAAAAAGAAATTATTAAATTTTGACCGATAATGATCGGTTCTCTGCCAAAAAATCTAGAATAGTTAAATGTCAACCAATATCGGTGTTGGTTGCCTGATAATATTCAAAGTAAATTCGTCATGGTACATGTCGACAGTTAAATCTTGTTGGATTTAAACCCGTAAAAATATTTGGGTTGTAATTCAATTTCAAAAACGTAATTATCCAAACAAATATTTGTCCTAAATCCAATATATAGGGATATAATTAAATTTTGGTCTATCTGGACTAGTCCATCTTGTCGGACTACAAATGATAAGCCCGAGGTCTATGCCATATGTCAAATGACATGACACACTAAGTCAGTGCAAGGGCCACTAAAATCATGTCACGTGCGTAAGTGATGTGGCATGCCAAGTCAAATGCAAGGACCAATCAAATGTCGCCAATTGTTCAAAATGACATGGTTCAACCAAATACATACAAGCTTGTCACATAGCTTTAGTGATAGGTTTAATGACTCAAGTTGGCCAATCAAATCGGAGAAAAAGATATGTATTTATCACAAATTCTCTTCGCCTACAACAATAAATACGGGTCTCTATAAGGACAAAGGAGGATAAAAAAATACATAGAGAAGCTCTCTTTTCCGGTGGTGATCCACAAGTCTTATGCATACCAACAAGTCTTTGCATTCAAGTGGTGAGCCGCAAATTTCCATCTCCACGTTTGTGATCAAATATTGTCAATAACAAGTGGTCCATTGATTCAAGAATAAATGAAGTCCTTGAATTGACGGCCGTGAGGAGAAGAATGAGAGGATTACATCGTTTAATTTATGATTGTTCAAAGATTGTAATTCGTATAAATTATTAAAATTAGATATTAATATGTATCTCTACTTTTCTTGTCATGACTAGTCGTAGGGTACGCGCTTTATGCGTGTACCTCATATCGTGAGTAAAAAAAATTTAAATTTAGTAAAAAATATATCTCGAGTTATAAACTAAAATTTTTAAAAAATAATAGAAGTTCCTAAATATGATGAGTATTGATTCTATGTAGCTAATTCTATAATGAAAGAAACATTGCCTCGCAACATTCTCAATCCTCATATGCTTTATTGAAATTTCGGTACATGAGTTGTGTAGTATTTGTTTAGAAGCCCAAACAGAATAAGGTAGAATTTTATTTTTAATAAGATATGCAGTTTTCTCTTTTATGTTAGAAAATTTTGGAATTGATAACAATTTTATTCCTCTTTGAAAAGATACTTTTCAGTCACGACCCAAAATCTCACATAAGGCCGTGATGACACCAAACCTCCAAAACTAGGTAAACCAACATGAAACATAGACCCAAATCAACAAAAATAAAATATAATATGACTGAAATATCATAGATAGCGGAATAAATCTACAATAACAGATAATATATAGATACCACAATATCAAATCATCAAAACCTGGTAGTGTAAAATCATGATCTCTAAAACTGAATACAAGGAAATCTTTCAATAATACAATATTGTATGAATGTATAGATAACATTATGAAAGATAGGGAAAGAATACTCCAAGGGTCTGCGGGCGATCATACAGCACTACCTTGAATCCTCTATGTCAGTTAAAAGACTCACTCTTGAGGTTTGCTACTGCCAATGCATGGATCTGCACAAAATATATAAAAATATAATATGAGGACGGAATAATGCATACTTAGTAAGTATCAAGACTAATCCCGGTAAAGTAATGGCGAGGTTCAAGTCATGCAATACTAACTAATCAAATAAATATGTGCAATTCATAATTGTTCAAAAAAAGGCTATAACAAAAGAGGCAATATCATCAAATATAATTGTCACGACCCAAAATCCCACCAAAAGTCATGATGGCACTTGACCTCTAAGACTAGGTAAGTCATTCACACTAACAACATTCAATCATCAAAACATAATATAATAAGTCAGAATCATCATAAATAGTGGAATAAGTAATCAACATAAGACAAAACGGCGATGCACAATACCAATTCCCAAATTTGGTAGTATAGAGTCATGAGTTCTAAACCGAATGTATAACGAGTCTCAAAGTATAATATTGTCTGAAAGTAATACAACAATAGGAAATAGGGGAAGGGTAATCCAAGGGTCAGTGACAGTCATGCAACACTACATTGAGTCCTCCTGATCAATGAGCGTGCTCAGTCTAGAGGTCCACTGCAACTAACAGCCGAATCTGTACAAAAATGTATAAAAGTATAGTATGCGTATGAGACTACATCTACTCAATAAGTATCAAGACTAATCTCGGTAAAGTAGTGACGAGGTTCAAGTCATGTGATACTCACTAATCAAAGAACGTGTGCAACATATATATAATAACTTACAATAAGGATATAACAAGATGCAATACTATCAACTCAACAAATATGAGATATCAACTCAACATAGGTAAATTCATCTTGACAATCAAATCATCAAATAATAACAGAGGTATAGGATAGCATGTTAAATGCAACGTGAAAACATGTGAAATGCATGACAAAGCATAAAGAATTTACTTGCACGATCAAGAATCCCACCCTTATACTCCACTCATCATCAACCGAGAATGCTACCCTTATAATCTACTCATCATCACCGAGAATGACACCCTTATACTCCACATCGAAATCAATCATATCAACCAAAATACCACAATCCGCGTGTACGCCATCAACAGAGAAACTTGAGATGATGACCATAGGGGATGGATCCATATCCACACGCTGCACGGCAAAAACCTAGTGCCATAATAATAAGCGCAAGACAAAGACCTTGTGCCATATTGGTAACCATATCATCATAATGGCATGACAAAGACCTCGTACCACAACATCATCACAATAACAATATCCGTACGAAAGAGACCTCGTGTCAACATCCAATTAATCCGCTCAATATGTTTATATGTGCCATAATCATAACAAATTCAAGATAACAATTTATTCATCAATAAGATATAATTCATCAATAAGATGCAAAAGGACATGGAAATAGGTAAAGTGCAAATGTGTGCTCAAGATATAAGACGTGACTACGACTAAATCAATTTTATAGTAATTCAACAAATCTCCATCTTGGCTAATTAGGAGATAATAATCATAAAACATGATCTCTAGTATGAAATGATAAGCTCATGTAGTCATACAAAGGATTACACATGTATCATA